CCTATGCACAGGCGATGTATTTTATGCCGTTCTACAGTTTATATCAATGGTGTTATTTTTGATAGATAAAAATTCTCTCAAAAAGGGTGTTTTCTTACCAGCATGCTACTGTTCTGTGAAACCATTTGCCCATTTTGGAAAAAGTAAAGCCAGACTTCAATTTGATTTCATTTCAAAAAACACTGATATATAGGCCTGGCTGGCGTAGCTCTGTGGATTGAGCACAGGCTTACAAACCAAACGATCGAGGTTCGATTCCCAGTCAGGGCACATGCCTGGGTTGCAGGCCAGTTCTCAGTGGGGAACACGTGAGAAGCAACCATACACTGATGTTTCTCTCCCTCTCTCCTTCCCTTCCCTTCTAAAGATAAAGAAATAAAATCTTTAAAAAAAACAACACTGATATATAAAGGCATCCAGCAGAAAGTTTCCCTTGCGCCCACATTCCCCACCTGCCCAGTCCCCATCTCCCTCCCAAACTGGTCGCCCTTGTCCCCACTTCCTCGTTTAGCCCTCCCGAGAATTTGCATGCACAAGCAAGCACTTCCTTTAAAGAGAAATGGTAGCATACAATGCACGAATTTCTCCCGCGCTTTGCTTCTGTAACTTAGTCAACATTCTGGAGAGCTTTCTCAATCCACCAATGCGGGAAGGGCCTCCTGGTTCCTTCCTACAACCGCACGACTCCATTCACCACCTGGGCAGAGAGAGACGGGTCTGACGCGTCTCCAGCTGAAGGGCATTCGGGGTATTTTCCATTTTTCACTCTCACAAACAAGGCAGTGAATAATCTCGTGCCCACGGTATCTCACACGTGCACAGATACACCCGCAGGTTAAATTCCCGAAACTGGTGTTGCTGGGTCAAAGGAGTTATATATACCCTTGCGACTTTTACAAGCTGCTGCCCAGTGCCCCTGTATTTCTGGGATCCACCCAGAGAAGCAGAATTCCTCTCAGGAGCTGGAATAGAGGGAATTCCACGCACAGATTTGGCTGCATGTGCGATGGAAAGGCTGAGAAGCCCAACAGGAAGTGGTAAGACAACCCACGCAATAGCAATTTGCTACCACCTCTGAGTTGCTGGGTCAAAGGGAGGAGCTATTTGCAAGGCTCAGGAGAGGTCAACAGGCACAGGCCAGCTGGAGCCAAAAGGAGACCCAGCAGCGCCACTGAGGCAGACCGAGCGGGCAGGGACCCTGGTGCCCCCTTCCTCCCGCCATCCAATCTCCCCTGCAGGTTCCCACGGGCCAGACCTATCACAAGCCAGCAGACCAAGGGTCTGGCAGGTGAGTCCCTCCGCAGGGGAAGGGCAAGCAGTGGATCTGAGCCAACGAGGACACAAGCCGGAGCTGCCTCTTTAAGAACTGTAGCTCATTTACACTCTCATCACCAACAGATGGTTTCCAACGTGGGGGTTATCGCCTGCCTGGCAGGTGACACCCAGGATCCCAACCTTGCGGTAATTTATGTTTATTTTATTGAGTGAGGCTGAGCATCTTTCCACGTGAAACACGGACTTAGCCCTCATCTCCTCCGACTGGGTTGGGGAGGCAGGAGGGAGAAAGGGGGGGAAAGCCAGCAAAGTTATTCCCTCCATCGGCCCCAGGCAATCCATCCATCCAGGAACATCACCCAGACAGATTCCCAAACGCAGCATTAAGATGGTGGCAAAGAGCCAAACCAGCCAGTCACCTGCCAAGGAGACACACATCGCAAGAACCGTTTTTACAAAAACTGAATGGCAACAAAGCCCCAAAGGAATGAACCATACCTTAACTGCCAACGACACATTCTAAGTAACAATGTGCTCTTGTAATCTCATCCCCCCCCACTTCCTCCCTCGCACGGCCTTCCAGCCATTCATGCGGCCCTCCCCTCTTGCCTTATCTTGCATTGAAAGAACAAATAATAATAATACCCTGGATGAATATTAAATTATAAAAACAGCAAGGAGAAATCATTCTTAAGTCTTCTAATGCAACCAACACATTAGCAAAAAGGGCTTCTAAATGACCTCTCATGCCTGTCCTGACCCTTGGAATAGATTGTCTCTCCCATCTTGTAATGTCTCTCCCATCTTGTAAACGAGCCGAAACCGACTCCCCATGTGGAGTTTTGCTACATGTTCAGCAGAGTACGTTTCATACTCTGAAACATACCCCCCAAGGGGCTGGAAAATAGCTTTACTGTGTTTCCAAGGGCTGAACTTCATTTTTAAAAGCACGAATTTTTCAGCAAAGCAGTTTATTTCTAAATATAAACCGTAGCAGTAACTAAAGAAATATAGAGGTATGCTAACTTCAAAACCTCCAGCAATTAATTATGAGTGAAATATAAGCACACCAAACTTATACAATAATCACTACATAATGGCATTTCAAAACCCTAAGATTTTTGCTTATTCAAAAACATACTTATTCTAAGATTGCCAAACATATTTTTAAGTGTCTTCCATAATGCAAGGAACCAAGGTCTTAATACTCTGCGTCGATAAAGGCTAACCATGGCTTTTCCTGCACCTAGCGTGCTGCCTGGTATCTTAGCAGACAATCGATAAATCTGCTCACTATTGACTGTTCCAGTGAGGTGAATCAAATCACACATTAAAATAATCATACCCTTTTCCTACTGCAGGGTAAAATTTTTACGGGGCTTTGGGCTTTTTTTTTTTTTGGTTCAAATTTGAAAGTAACAAGCATCACTCCAGAAACTTGGAACATACAAAAACTAACAGAATGAAACACAGTATCGCCAGTTTTGACATTATTTAGACCATGATGTATAAAACAGCTTCTTTTTAATGCCTGTAAAACAATCCATCCAATCAACTCCCCACGAGTTCCCTCACCAGCCCCCGCTGTTTCCAACTTTCTGCTATTACAGAGAAATGCACATCTTCACGCATGAAATCTTTTTTTGAATTTCAAGATTGTATCCCCAGAAGAGACATTAACTGCCCAAAGAGAGTCTGAAGACTTTTGATACTTAATACCATCTTTTGTTATAATACTCGAGATCTATAAACTTCCTCTTTTTTTAAAAAAATCTTTAAGCCAACTTTCACCTTCCAGCCTTCTACATTTTTTTACTCAGAGTCAGAAACGCCTCCCAAACCAAATGGCCAGTAGGGAGAGGACCGTCTATAATGTTGCAGTAACCACGTATGGTGCCAGGTGGGGGTTCAAAGGACCAGGGGATCACTTTGTCAATTATGCAATTGCCTAACCACGATGTTGTTGTTCTTCTGAAACTAGTAATAAAATACTGAATGCCAACTGTTATTGAAAAATAAATTTTAAAAAATATGTTTGTCAGCCATCACCAAAAAAAAAAGGCATACACGGAACTAAGTCATTCATAATATATCCCCCCTCCCACCAAAAAAAATACATATTGCCAAGCCAGCTGGCTACTTTGACTCAAAGATCTAATGCTTAAAAACAGGGTCGGGCACAAATAACAGCCCTGTTTTATTACAAAATCTTTTATTACAAAACCATAAGCATGTGACTCTGTAACATAATGATATTACAGTCCAGCACACCCTATGCCATTTCAGGTCAAATGTTCAAATTAAAACTAGATGATCACGTCCATAGATGACCCTACCGACCACACTCAAGCGGGCGTTACTTCTGCCGGGCCCTGTATCACCGCTGTTTTGACTTTTATTTTCTGAGCAGGAGAAACCGCTCGGCCCCGTCTGTTCTGCTCCCCAGATCTCCAGAGGCCGGGAGCGCGGCACTTGACCGAACCCACGACAGCCGCGGACAGGCGGCCCGGCCGTAGAAGCATTTGCCACATTGGGCTCCTCGCCACCGCACTTTCTTGCACAAACAACACGCCCACTCAGTGCCACCGTGAGAGCCCCGGCTCTCACGGTGACAGACGAGCTCGCCAAACGCCGCGGCTGCTGCCCACCGCCCGGTCTGACGGCCGCGTGGCCGTCACCGACCGGCGCACACGGCCCCACCTGCGCCGCGCTCCGGGTCTCGAAGGCGCTCGGAGGAGCCACTCCGTCCAGAAGCCTTCGAGGCTGCTGGTACGCACAGGCAGGCGGTTGCGCCCGCAGCCTGTAATTAAGACTTTTTCCAAAACGCTCCCTTGTTCCAAAGGGTTCCGACGATTCGGTCGGTCAGCAAAAAGGTCTTTAGTCAAAGCAGCGGGATCTTCAACTTCGGGTCTGCCTGTAAAATTAGGGGGGTTAACCCTTTTGCTCCCCAAACGCACGACCTCACTCCGTACCCTGGCACGTTCTTCGGCTTAAAGGCAAAACTCGCAGCCTAACACAACAGAACTGGGCATTCCTCTAAATAATAGACAAGGAACGCGACGCTGCCCGCGACAGGGAGCTGGGCGTCAGGCAGGCAGCCGGTCCTGGGGTCTCCGCTCCGGGCGAGCAGCTCCTGACTTATTTTTCGCCAAATCGGTCACGTTTTCTGTTTCATAAAATGCGTGCGCTCCAGCTGCGCCCTCCTCACTGGAGAGACCCCACCGACCACTTCGGACCCAACGCCAAGGAAACTGGCACGACTGCCAACCCCCTCCCCGCATCCGCCCCTGTTGGACCCGGAGGATCCCCAACTCCAAACTTTCCCCTCCCATCGGCCGTGGGCTCCCCCACTTCCCACCTGAGAAGGGCGCCGAGGGTCCTCCAGCGGTTGGGCTCTGGAGGGCGTGGACGCGCATGGTGACTAGAGGCGGAGAAGGTCGCCCTCGAAGTGCCCCGCCCCAGGAGAGGGACCCCCGAACCTGGCCAGAGACTCGGGGTGGCCCCAGCCGGTTAGGCAACAACCCCGACCGCCCCTCCCCGGGGCCCTCGGACCCCGGCCTCGGTCCTGGGGCCCCGCGGGCCTCGGCGGTCGCCAGCCCGCACCGGAGCTGCCCGCACCCCGTCTCCTCAGGCGCACCGGGACCCCCGACCTTCGCTCCCGCCCGGCGCGCCCGCGCGCCCCGCCCCAGGCCGCCAGCCGGGCCAGCCACACCTCCGACACTCACCGCCGCCGCCCTCGCCACCGCCGTCTTCGTCCATCTTGAGGCCGCTCCCGCTGCCGGCGAGCCCGGGGCCGGCGGGCAAGGGGCCTCGGGCGAGGGGCGCCGCGGGTGCAGAGCGCGCTGGCGGCCGGGCGGCTCCAGCAGCGCGCGCGGGCCGGGTCGCGGCCCGGGCCTCCTGCCGCTGGGCGGGGCGCTTGCGCTCTCCGCCGCCGTCACGTGACGCGCTGGCCACGCCCCCGGGCGCGGTGGGCGGGGCTCGATACCGCGCGGCCACGCCCTGACCCGTCAGTCCGGGACACCGCGAGGCTGAGACGCGACCCTCGAGTGCAAAACGCACGTGGACACCTGCCCGGCCAGCTCCTTGGAGCAGCCTGGCGACAGCGAGGGGTCGGCACGCGGGGGTGCCCACTCCACCAAACCCGGCGGTGAGGGGTCCTCCTCGCACGTGCACTCAGGAAAAAGATCCGGACACGCGCGTCTTCCAGGCTCGGGCCTCCCCCGTGGGCTCCGAGAAATTTCGGAGTGGCTCCAGCCTTTCAGCTTTCTGATATATAATGGAGGCGCTCCTTTCCTGGCGAGGCGTGCACTTTAAAATTAACAAAGTGTAAGGCTTAGAACTGAACGTCAGTCATCACGAGGTCCCAACCCGGCACACCTGGGGCCCACCCTCTGCGGGCTCCGCAGGCCTCGGCCAGCGTGGCCTCGGATGCCCTCGCAGTTTCGATCCAGGCTCCCTTGGGAAGCTGCCAGCTGCCCTGGATTTATGATGCAGGAGGAGCTCTGAATTCAATTTCCCGTGGGCACAGCCAGGGTCCTTGGCGCAGGCCCCCTGGGCACAAGGCCTCAGCCGGCCCCTGCTCCATCCAGGTCTCCTATGAATCCCCCTTCTCACTCCACGGCCTCCTTCCAGTAACTCCTCCGAAGCACTGAATGCCGCCCCGTCCCCCGCCCCCACCCCAGCTTTTCTGTTCTTTTTGCTTGAACTAAATTGCATTAAAGAAAAGGAAACATCGTAATGGAGGAGATAATTTATCTCTAATATAATTTTCCAGCACCTGTTTTATGTTTACAAGTGGCTGCTTCTGGTGTCATTTATCAAAGGGACCATTTTCGCCTTTTTGTTCAAGGTTGTGGTCTGAGTCCAAAGAATTCAATCTCCTAAGAATCTTGGGAACTGAACGCCCAGCATTCTGGGGCTTCTCAAGTCATGGGGCACACTTCTGGGGGCAGATAAAAACGTTTGGCAGCTTATGTGACGAATCTGCAGATAAAACGTTTGGCAGCTCGTGTGACAAACCTGCCACTGAAAATGGGTCTGGGCATCAGGAGATGGAGCTTTGAGATGTGGCTGCCTGGGCTGGTTATCTTGGAGATAACAGTGTAGTCACTGAGAAAAATGGCAGCCTACTTGGAACTTGCCGAAACCCCAGCGTATTTGGATAACGCTCTTTAACCAAGTGAGCTACCCAAGCAGGGCGGGACTTGACAATGGGATATGTGGGGCTTTGATACTATCGATTATAAATGCTTTTCAATGTCAATTCCTAGTTCCTTAGGTTCCCGGGAACGGGGTCCACAGGTGCTCCTCTCAAAGTCGGAATCTGAACAGTGCTTCTCTGCTCTCCACCGGAGCTCATTTCCATCAGAACCCAGCACAGCAGAGCCATTTGTAGACACAATACTGTATGATCCCCACAGCTCACCCTGGGCCTCCGTTTCAACAAAGCCTGAAAAAAATGTTGGGAGAACGGGGCTTAGGGTGTCCTCTCTGCACTTGAATGGAGAAACTGGAAGCCCTCGAAACCCACACTATTCAAATGAATTAATATCTAGTGAAATTTTCTTTTTCTTTTTAAAAAAAGCTGTTTTCCTGTATCTGTAAAAAAATCCCACCAGGACAGTTACGTAATCTGCTTACATTCAGGTTCCCCTTAAACACAGTAACACCGAGAACCCTACTTAACCACCAAGAAAGGCACTCACTTTACATCTGGCTTCAGAGCAGTTGACTCAGATGCTGACAACTTTGTGAGTGATTTTTTTTTTTTTAAGGAAAACAAGTCATGCAGGAGACATCGCCCCAAGACGCCCTGTGTTAAGTCCTTGTTGCCATCATTCAGTTAGTGAAGAGTTAGGCACCTGTCCCAGGTGCTGGGAATGTGATAATGAAAAAACTAAAGATTCAGTCCCCCTCCTTAAGGGACCTTTGGCCTAGAAGTCATGCAGCCACGAAGCAAATAATTACACAAATGCTTATTTAGTTGAGATGTTGACGTCCGACCCTACTCCTAGACCTTCTCCCAGTGTTTGCTGTTTCCTGTGTACTGGCTTTGCAGCCTTGAAACTCCTCCAGACCAAGACTGTGGCCTGTATTTATTCTGTCTCCAGGACCGGCCGCAGGGCCTGGCCTTGTTAAAATAGGGGAGAAAGCAACGGTATTTGCTAGTACTGCCAAAGGAACAGGGCAGTCAAAAGCAGAAGCCATCTTAAAAACCTGTCAAAACCCATTTAGCAGCCCTTTGGCCACTGCAGAAATAGTTTTTAGAAAAGCAAGAATGTGCACAGCATTCTGGGAAGGTCAGAGGCGCCTACCTTTTACCTTCATCTCCAACTTCCAGGTGGAAGTGTGAAATTGGATGGAAGTGTCCATTTCCAGTACTAAGGTCACAAGAGTCAAAACCCTGCCGCCCTGGGTGGTTTCGGCAGGCTCAGCCAGGCAGGGGCTGCCTGGGGCCGCCTGACCTCTGGCTGCCTCCAGACCCTGCCCAGAGCAGATCCCATCTTCTCTGATAAGGGGTCAGGAAATGCAGAGACAGCAGCAGCGACTGAGACTGACCGTTAGCAGATGGGAACCCTGACTAATCTGTTACATCTGCTCAGGGGGCCGGTCCAGGCCTGGAAGGCCCACACAGCGGCCGGCTCATGGTCGGCTCGCGAGCGTGAAAGGAAAGCAATGTTTTCTGAAATCTAATTTCGTCTAGGACAGAAAGCATCTCGTTGGAAGAGAGAGGACCTTGTGCAGATCAGCATTCTCCGTGCTGCCCAGGCGAGCAGCGGGGGTCCGAGTGCCAGGTCTCATCCACATTAAATTCTAAAAGGCCCAGACATCCAGTCTTTCCCAGCGTCCCCGCCCCCGCCCCACCCTTCTGTGCGGTCGGTCCACCTTGCTCCCGTTCCCCCCACCCCCGCCCCAAGCCACACAATGGACAGCAGTGCTCTGGACTCCCGTTACCAAGGGCAGCTTAACTCCTTCTAGATGGATTAGTAACTTTCAGGTTTGCAAGAACAAAGGAGGTCAAATTTCTCACTAGTGGTAAATTTGGAAAAAATAAACTGGTCACCCTTTTGAGCTGTTTGCCTCCAGGAGAAAAGCATTATACCCACTCAAAGCAGCATCAATATTAAGAGTTATTGCACACATGGAGTCTTCTATAGTAACACAAAACCTGTTATTTTTATCTAGTTATTCATCTTTGTAGCATGACCCTGGCCTACCAAAAACAAAACAAAAGTAATTTTTTTGTTCCACTTAAAAACATCTCCGTCAGAAGTTGACCTGGGTCTGCAGTGCGCACCTTCAAGTCACCAGGAGGACACAGCTAGGGGTGCAGAGTGTGCCACCGGCCGGGTGATGAAAAAGAAAGACGGTGAGAATGACCACCATGAGGACGCAGGACATCCGTCTGGGGTCACGGAACAGAAAGTGTGCTCCCGAGTGACAGCACAGCATCCTCATGAGGGGCTGTGCGGCCCAGAGGGTCTAGCTGTGTCCAGGCGAATGTGACTCTGCAGCCCGCCTTGCGGGACGGTGAAGGTCGGCCACCAGTTCAGCTCATGCCTTGCCTGTGTCACAGGGCCACACGTTGCCCCGGAAGGCCGTTAGGTCCCAGCCTGGGAGCATCGCAGCCCGCCAGCTCTGGTACCTGGGTGGATAACACAGGCTCTTCCATGTCCTGACAACGGTGTGACCGTGGGCCAGTGACTGCACCTCTCTGTGCCCCAGTGTCTGCCTCTGGGATGCAACCAACAGTTCTCCCCCGCACAGTGACCCTGAGAACTCGAACTGGGGGCTGCTGTCCACAAACAGTGCGCGGCACACAGTAAGTGCTCAATCAATGCTCGCCATTGTTATGCTCAGAAGAGGGAAGTTCCTCCCCTCCCTCATTCACAAGCCAGACAGACTCCCTGTGACAGACTGGGAGGCAAAACTGAACCCTGGAGGGGCTGCCCCTATTCACCGCCGCCCGCCAGCAGTTGTCTTTTCCTCCGGGTCTTCGGGAACGTACCACACTCCCTGCCCTCGGCTTGGAATTTGTCCACACCTCATCCCTTGTCAGCCCTCTAAAGCCCTGGGCTCTCAGGGTCACGGTCATACACATGTGCATTTCCAAAAAGGAACCAGGGGACTCTGTGCCCCTTCTTTGATGTTACTTTATTCATCCCACAACCTGTTTCTTAGCACCCCCTCCAGGCAGGCCCCCAGGGATTCAACCGCAGCCAGCAGCCAATGGTTTCACAACGGACATGCCGGACCTCAGGACCCAGAGGGACTCCAGCAGCCCAGCAGCCCTTCGCCACACCCCTTGCAGCTGGCACAGCGCCCTTTCTTGGGGAGAAAGGGAAGGGAAGGGTCAGGTGTGCACTCCCTGTTCCAATACTTGTCCGCCGGTAGGGAGTAGTCCCATACATTTAAATTGTAGAGATCCACTGTTTGGTCAGTATGTGTTTAGCCTTGAATAAACATTATCAAAGTTTATCACTGAGGTTTCAAATCTGTAAACACACTGTTGAGGACCCTAATTCATTGGGATAGAAACACGCAATGAATGTAGCGTTCCAATCACAGCGCCTGATCTCTCTTTGTTGACACGGTAACATTGTTAACATTTTTAACAACAGTTCAATCTCTCTCCCTCTCCCTTGGCAACATACAGGGCCAATTCCCTACTTCCGGATCACTCTAGTTGTTAAAAATCATGTCCTTTACGCAGACTTCTGGTTCCAGAAAGAGAGAACGGGTATACTGTTCCCTATTCCTCCCGCTAAGTTCAGTGAAATTCCACGCACAGTACACATGAGCCAAATACAATCAGACTCCGACAGGAGTAGAAGGCGGATGCAGTGGAACGACACACGGGACGACACGGCGCTGAGTCCCCAGGTTTGCTGCTGGAGAACCCGGAGACACCAAACAGAAAACCCCCAACAGAAGCCCGCTCTCTGTAGCCGCAGGATCGGAACGCGCAGCCTGGCAGGATGGAAAACTTGAGACCGTCAGGCTCTACCCCAGCCAGCCCAGTGGCCCCCCAACATCAGCGAAAGGGTAAGAGGGGAACCTGGACCTCCACCTTCCTGAGGCTGAAGGGGGGTGTCCCAAACCAACGCCCCCTTTCCCTGAATGGTGTTGGAAAAGACCGAGTAGGGAAACTGCAC